CAAATGCTGGCTGGGGAATTCTGGGAGTTGAAGTCCAGACATCTTCAAGTTGCCAAGGTTGAGAAACACTGTTCTAGTCAACCCTGCTCAGGCAGATCTCTTCTTAAAAACCTCCAGTGTTTATGATACTCTGTGATAAATGTATGATACTGCACGATAATTTGGATAATTAAGATCAGATCTTGTCAAAGCTTACAGTCTGGCGGCAGACTATAAATTATAACAGCATTATAATAGGATTAATATGCAAGTTGAAAGATTGCACAAGATTCAGCCTTCCATGGACCAAATTATCTTGAACTGAAAGCTTAAAAAACATTAACAACTGCAGAAATTATCATTTGGATACCAACAGATTTGCTGTAGGCAATAAACAAAGCTTATAACAATGGTTATCTCAAAAACTCTGGATCCAGTGTATGACAGAATTTTATACAATGCAATATACTTTGTATAAAATATAATTTTATGGTCTTTTATTCCAAGGATATACTTGCTTATTTAAACTGAGCATTTTAAATTGTGCCCACAGTTTTTTTTTTAAATAAAATCCACTGATAGTAGTATAAACATCGCTTTAGAAAATCACAAGAAAATCGCTCCAAAAACGGAAATTGAAAGGGAGGGAAATTATCAAGACTCTTCTCTTGGATAATCTTGCCCCAAAACATTTAGAATTTGAACGGTTAAAGCTACGTATGAGGCAAGCCATCACCACAAAAGTAAACTCCTACAGCATATGTATGTTAGAAATAGCAGTTCTCCTGTTTTGTTTATTCCAACTCTTCTGGCCATTATTGTCAGGGAAGAGCAAGGCAGTTTGAAATGGCACAGGGCTCCAACACAAGAAATTCCATGGGCAAAAAACTTATCTTCCTAATATGTTTTCCCGATAGATATAATGATGAGATACCAGTGCCATAACCCCTGATTTCTTTTCAGCTTCACCCAGTGGTGGGTTTCAAAAATTGTTCGAACCTACTCTGTGGGTGTGGCCTCCTTTGTGGGAGTGGCTTGCCGCCCATGTGACCGGATGGGAGNGATGCCAACATGCCTGTCTTATTAAATTGGAACTTTAAGCATAGTTTTGCCTTCGACTCTGATTTAATTCTGCATAGTATTTGGAACGAAGGTGAGGTATGACAAAAAAATAATAATTCTGCTAAGGAAAATTTATGAGATGCTGCAAATCACACACAATTCAATAGTGTGATCTTCTGGCAAAATGATACTGGTTTGAACTGCAGAATTATAGTTCTGTAAAATAAGTATTAATAGTATTTGATCGAATGTCAGTAGAATTGCACTGTCAGTAGAATTGCACTGTAGAATTCTAGAATCAAGAATCAGATGCTGATGAATGTTAAAAGTTTAAAAGATGTCATAAAAAAGCAATAGCTTTGTGTAACTTTTAATTCTAAAAAAATATTTTCTAATTATACTTTCAATGATCAATCAAGCTAATAGGAAGATTTTTTTTTAAAGGGGGCAGGGTGATTTGCAAAAAGAAAACATTAATATCGCTTTCGAAGCACATTACATATACCTTCATGCATTAAAAAATGTTTCTACGGAAAAATATAACTCAGTGTTGCCTTGCACCACAAGATGAATGGCATATAAATTTGACAAATAGATAAACGGATAGATAGAATTTTGTTTTTTTTTTGCTGGAGAACTGAGTGGCAGCAGTTAATTTTTACAATGATGTATCTTGTGTTCATATTTCCTGGATGTGTTCTCAGGCAACATGAGACTATGTAGAAGTGCAATAAACTATTACAGATGTTAGCAGTTATTACTCACTTCAATTGCTGCTAACTCTTTGAAGTTGTCCAGATCAGGAAACAGATACCACAAGATGACTAGAATTTCACTGAGATTGGTTATTGTAACAGTTTTATGAGCCTGGTGCATTTCCCTTTTCCTTCTTCTTGTACCCCAGGGAGAAAGGGAAGAACCAGTCTGAGCCTCTTCCTAACACTTTCTCTGTTTCACTCAACATGTCCTTTTCCTCATGTTGTTCTAACAGTCTCTAAATAGTGTCATCTCTGTGACTCCCTACAATGAAAAGATAATAGGGACCACATCGAGGTGGGCTATGTTTGCCCCACTGCAGAGGTCAGATATGTTCATCAGTCGTAGATAGTGATGGTAAGAAACCTGGGCCGAGGGGAGAAGTACTGCTGCCTGATGAACCATGTATCTCCAGGTGCATGCCATTAGGTTCAGCCATAAAAGAGCTCCCTGCAATTCATACTCCATCACTTAATTCGTGGCACGACAAAACCGCGCTCGTCAAAATAGCGGTGATAAAACCATGTCGCTAAAGCCGTGACGTCATCACCACGCGTCATCACCGCCGCGACAACAGCGCGGCGACAGAAGGGCGCTTTAAACCAGCACGGCGGCAGAAAGCCAATTTAAATTAAGGTAAGGGTTAGGTTTAGGGGTTTGCTTTAGGGTTAG